TTGTACAAAGAGATAGAGTTTGAAAATTTACCTCCTTCAGCTGGAATCGTGAATGGAAATATAGTGACTTTAATGGAGGCCTGATGCTTGCTTGAGCTTCCTTGAGCTTCCCTGAATCTATTCCAACCCTTGCCTTGCTCTATGAGTGGCTAGAACTCCCTGACCAAGTCCAACTGCAAGCTTCAAAGTTAACAATGGCAAATGGTGGAAAAGAGGATACAAAACATGGATGATGGTTTGGATGGGTTTGATATCAAGTATGTAAGGTATTGGAATGATCTAAACATAAAACGCACGAGCCAAATGGAAGCTGGATGTGTTTGTGCAGAAACTGTATGTTTTGGACAGTTTTTGGTGTTTTGCTTGCTCTGAGTTTTTCAGGTCTTGGCCTGGTCTCTTATGTGTTGCATATAGTTTGTATATTAGTTTTGAAATGATCTTAGGTCAGCTTCCCAACAGATCTGCCAATGCTAGCCTTTTTGCCAACTTTCTTGTACTTGAAGCAAAGTGACAAGACCAAAGCTTCACATGCTTGTACCAGCTTGCTTAGGGTTGGTATGGGTTTGTACAACTTGCTTGAGACCTGTATGGTTTGTATGCATCAAGGGTACATGTTCAAAGCTCAAAATTGTAAAGTTTACAAAAGTGGTTCTTTATGAAAATGGCAATGGAACCTTTTTGCCATAAGTGGAATTATAAGTTGGATAAAGGTTCAAAAGCATGGATAGAGGCTTTGTCAACTGAGTAAGTATTTAATTAAGGAGTGTAGAACAATTTTAGGACCTGTACAAAATGAAATAGCCAGCATAGGATTGATTTGCAACTTGGTTCTTCATGAAATGGCTTGAACAAAAAGTGAGAAAATGCCAACTTCCTCTCTTCGATTCTCCCTACTCAAAAATGATTTTGAGGAGTTCTTGGACATTTTGGAAAGCTTGCAATGTGCTCTATAATTCATCTTTGAAATGCATTTTGATATACCTCTTGGAACTAGGTGAAAAATTTCCATGAAGTTGGGTCCAAAACCTGCCTAAATTAGGGTAAAATTTCACTAAGTTAACAAGTTCATGACCATGTATTCACAAATTTATATCTTGAGATCAAAGCATCTTTATGGAAAAGTTTGTGAATAAAAGTTGTAGATTTCATGGATATCTACAACTTTCATGTTGGGAAGTTTCCTTGAATCATTAGGCATCATGGTGTAAAAGTGGTGTAAAGTTGAGAAAAAATAAGAAAATTTTCATACTTAGAAAATTTCTAAGTTATGAAAATTTTCAAATTCAAACCCTAATTTTCAAATTTGGATTTCTTGATGAACAAGTTTCACATTTGGAAATGTTTTTATGAATTATGACCCTTGGTACTTGATTTTGACCAAAAAGTCAAAGTTTGACTTTTCAGTGTACAGTTGACTTTTGATCAATTGACTGTAAAATTCATCTGTCAATCCCATGTACTTGAGATATTTTGAGCCATGTAATTAAGTCAAGATGATTCCATTGAATCCTTGAAATCATGCTTGAACTCAATTGGTCATTTGCTAGGTTAAAAATCAGAAATTGCCCTTCCTCAGTCAAAACTCTAATTTTGACCATTTTGCCCTTTTTGTGATTTGATCAAATTTCTTGAGGGATTATGATCCAAACTTGACCAAATGATACATGTGAGTTTAAAATGTTGATTTTGATAAAAAAAATTATGAAGTTTGACTGTAAATTGGCCATGGTTGACTTTTTCCCCAATACAGCTGATTTTTAGGTCAACTGTCCAATTGACTGATCAAAAATGTGGTTCAAGGCTTGAAACTTGTCATGGATGATCTTAGGGGTCCATAATGATGTTTGAAAGTCACATGAAGCATTGATAGTCCAAAAATCCTTGTGCAAACTCAAACCCTAATTTGGGGTTATCAGTGCAAGATGAGATGTCTTGAGCTGACCAAACCCTAATCTTGTCTTGAGTCAAAGAGATCTTGTGAGAGAAGTCTTGATAAGTGAGAGGGAAAATTTTGGGGTACAACACCAATGAACAGGGCCTCTCGCCGCCGTGAGCAAGCCCTAATTGTTACTAAACTACTAGGGCCTCTCGTCATCCTACTAGCTTAAGGATACCATGCACTCTTGTATTTGTTACAAATATACTTAGCATTATTTAATCTTATAACAACAGCGGATGAAGCTTAGTTTAGAGTTGTGTTTCCATTCCTAGCTTCGTTCGAGTTTTGTTTGCTTTACGTTGTCTGTTTAACCTTATAATAAACTCTTGTGCATCAATTAATGACCCATAGTTTTTATAGATTAAAACTAACATTGCAAAATTAAATGCATGGACAAAATATTTACTTATAAAAAATGTAATGAAGAAGATGAAGATAATGGTGGATGAAACTTTGTTTTAAGTTTCATTTCCTTTCCTAGCTTTGTTTGCGTTTATTTTTCTTTACTTTGTTTCAAGACAATGGTGTTCAATTGAATACAATTGTGGAAGAAATGATATTTTCAAGATTTGTTTAATGGAGAAATATATAGAAGATGAAGTTTCGTCGAGGGCAATAAAGTTCATGAGTTTTTATTGTGTAAAAAAGTGAATGAAATGGATATCGATGTATTGGAAATAGTAGGAACATAGTTTTCATGTCGGTTAGGAGACCCAACTGATATGATATCTTGTATTTTTGTGATATAAAAATACAAGCTATCCTATCATCTTCTATATATTTCCATATGAAAAAGAAATAAAATTAAAAATTGTAGTTGGTGGGATTCAAAGTGTGTACTTAAGGAACGTATAGTTTCTAGTCAAACTGAGGAATAGATGATTAAATTTTAATTAAAAAATAACAAATGCATCAATTGAAGAAAAAAAATTTTACAACAACAGAATAGATGATTTAACTTTGGATTAATAGCTATTTTGTTCCCTGCCATATAGTCAAGTTTTGAAAACTCCTTCTGTAAAAAAAATTTCAAAAATCCCCCTATCATATGAAGATTCACCCGTTTTACTCCATCAAGAAGTTTACTCATCAATAATCTATTAAATTTCATGTAATTTGTCTCATGTATTAAAATTTGTACATATTTTACTCCTTTTCAAATTGACGGTTTTTTTGAAAACCCCTTGCCAAATTGGTGATTTTTGAAAAATTCCCTTGCCATATTATTACATTTTTGAAACTTTTTTTTTACAGGGAGATTTTTTGAATTAAAATAACCATTAACCCTTTAATTTTTAATAAAAAAATGTGTTAACTAAAAGAGAAATAAAATTAAAAAACTTTAGTAGTTAGGATTCAAAGTTTGCTCCTGAGGGAATTTATGCATCGCTTGCTAGCCCAATTGAGGGAATAGATGGTCTAATCTATTTATAATATATTAAAATAGAGTCGCTGGCATTTCATCTTTGTTTTTTCACCTATACATATTTTTAGAAACATATTAGCTTTCACACTTTGATACTTATATATTTTTAGTATATTTAGGATGTAGATTATTTTTTATATACAAAAGTATCGATTCTTTAGTTTATATCCAACTAAAAATTCACGCAACTCCAAATAAAATTAAAAAACCATTTAAATTTAAAATTCGTTATACAATTTAATACTTATTATAATTTAATGTTTTTTTAGACTTAGTATTTTGTTTATCTCAAAACTTTGACTTCATACTACTTTAATTATTGAAAATTCATTTATTTATTAATTTCATTATTTATTATTAATTATTATTATAATTGATATTTAATTGCGATTATTATTTTAATCATTATGCAAATTGATAGTATTATATTTTTTAGAATGACGATAGATTTAGATATATAAAAAGATGCATTCAAACCACTTTTTTCATTGGAAATTCATTTATTTATACATAAAATTATGTATTTTAATTTTATAAATTTCACCTACTCTAAATAAATTTTAAAAAAAATTATGTTTTACACTTCAACTATTATACGTTTTTCATAATAAAAAAAATACTAGATAACAATTTTAGTAATTTATTTATAAATTTTTTCATATAATTTTTTTCATTTAATTGAAAGTTTATTTATTTACTAAATAAATTCCTTACTATTAATACTATCATAATAGACAATTAAATTAAATTATTATACCAATACGGTACTTTCACAATCATAAATTTTTTTAAACGTTTTTTTTTTTTAAGTATTATGACTTAGAATCTATTCATATAAAAAAGTGGATTCAAACCTCTTTATTAAATAAAAATATATTTATTCACTAATTAAATTACTCATGATTATGTATAACATAACTGTAGTTTAAATACAATTATTTTCTAGAAATACAATTTAATATCGATATTGAATACTTTTATGATAATTGAAAGGATAGGGTAAATTATTTTATAGTGTTCATTTTCACAGTTTAAAATACCTTTATAAATAAACAAAAATTATTTATTTTTTAAACAAATGTTACAATATATTTAGTGACGGTAATGATTACAAATATTTATTAATAATATTTTATTATTTAAGAAATAAACTTAATATATAATTACTATCATAATTGATATTTAAAGTGAGATCATGAAGACACTCTTATCCAAAATCCTAATGCTATAACCAATCTTGTCATAAAATACTTCTCTATCATGTTCGGTTACGAGACTGTTGGACATAATTTTAAAGATATGGAGGGCCTTATTCCTAGAATTATAAATGACTAAATGAATCAATGCTCACCGCTTGTCCCTCTTCGATAGGAGATTAAAACTATCGTGTTCAACTTAAGCCTTGATAGCTCCTTGAGGTCAGACGGTTTTGGTGGCTTCTTTTATCAAAATTATTGAGAAACTGTGAAGAATGATGTGATAAAGGCAGTCCTTCAATTCTTTAATCAGGAGTGGATAATACAGAACTCTCAAAAATCAATGGTGTCAACTCTTTGAACAAGTTTAGACTTATTGCTTAGCAAATTTTAAGTTTAAAATCATTTGAAAATTATGGTGGATCGGTTGACTTTTATTATGCCTTTTCTCATATTCAAGGAGCAAAAAGACTTCATTCAAGGAAGAAATATTCATGACTCAATCTGTTTAGCTTTTGAGGCCTTTAATATGATGGATAGGAAATGCTTCAGCGACAAGCTTTTGATACTCTTAATTGAAAATTTTCTCCTCAAGGTTTTGGATAGTTTTGGTTTCTCTTCCAAGTATTTGGGTTAGATTTCGGAAATTATTGTTTCATCCCATCTTACGTTATTATTAATGGTGCTTCTAATGAATACTTCAATTGTGCTAGGGGTGTCCGTTAAGGCGATCCATTATCTCTATTACTCTTTTGCTTAGCAGAAGAAGTTCTTAGCAGAGGCATTTCTAGATTGGTTTTCGTTGGTGTTGTTAAGCCTATGCTCGGTCCTAAAAACTCGCCCTTTCTTTCCCACACTCTTTATGTGGATGACATTCTCATTTTTTGTAAAGGCACTAAAGCTAATTTGCAAGTCATGTTCTCTTTCTTTTCCTCTTATGCTGCTGCCTTGGGTCAAGTTTTTAGCCCCTCAAAATCTTCTTTTTTTGTAGGTGGGATATCGGTAAATAGATTCAAGAATCTATTAGACTTCTCTTGTTTTAGAAAAAGGGGTCCTTCCTTTTGATTATCTTGGCGCTCCCATTTTTAAAGAAAGGCCCAAATCCCAGTTTTTCCATTCTATTATAGATAGAATACTGGCGAAGTTTTCGGCTTGGAGAAGTTCTCTTCTTTCTATAGCTGGTTAGATGGTGATGGTGCAATCAGTTATTCATTCTATGGTAAATCATATAATGGTTGTTTATTCTTGACTGAATTCAATTCTTAAAGCTATTGAGGGCGCTTCTAGGAACTTCATTTGGAGCGGTAAAATTGCACAGAGGAAAATGACAACGTTCTCTTGGAATAAAATCTTTCAACCTAAGGAGTGTGGAGGCTTGGGCATCGTTTCTTTAATCAGTCTTAATAAAACTTTCAAGCTTAAGCTTTGTTGAAATTTCCTAACTCCTTGATTGATTGGGCTTGTATGCTCAGACTAAGAGTTCTTAGAAATTTTTGTAAGATCAATCATCACATTAATTCTTTCATTTGGCTTAGGATTAAAGATCATTGTAATTTGGTGTTAGATAATTCTTATTGGTCTTTGGTAAACGGAAACAGAATCCACTTTTGGAAAGATGCTTGGTCGGGTTCTTTATTTCTTAATGAGATTGGTAATGTCTCTCTTTCTGATGTTAATATCAACTTTGATGCCATTATTTCTAATTACTCTACCAATTTGGATTGGAATGTTTTTGTGGCTTGGTTTAATTTGTTCTCGTTTCTTGAAGAGAGATTGGTGGATTTTGTTGTTCATGAAGGTAATAGAGAGAATCTTCTGTGTTGGAAAAGCTTCTTTAATGGTCTTCTTTCTTTAAAGGATGCTTATGCTTTCATTCATCGAAATTCGACACAGGATCTATGGGCTAAAAATCTATGGAATAATAACATACCTCTCTCTCGTTCCCTTTTGGTTTGGAGGCTGCATCAAAATAAAATCCCAACCTATGATCAGTTAAATCTACGGGGATTTTCGATTATGTCCAAATGTTCTCTTTGCAACCGACATGTTGAGAATTCTGATAATCTTTTTTTCTCCTGTTCATTTGTTGTTGATTTCTAGAACTGGTTAGGCTGTATTCTGCATGTTTAGATTACACGTGGCAATATTTGGAACTTGTCTTCGAAAGCGGCTTCGTCCTAGGGCTCCTTGGCTATTCAAGCTTCTAGCATTTTTTTCATTAATGCTCTTTGGAATGCTAGGAATGTGGTTCGTTAACATCACTTCCATTCGCGCAAACATTTTGGCACAAGTGAATTTAAGCAATTCTTCAGCAAATTTTTCGTATAAACACAACATGTATGACTTCACTATGTTGAAAGTTTTTCTTTTGAACATTAACCCTTCAATGGCGCCTAGCTCATGGAGATTATTTGGAATCCGCCTCCTTTAAGATGGATTAAATGTGGATGGCTCCTTTGTGGATTCTCCAAGATCCTCAAGTTGTGGTGGGATTATTCGTTCAAACTCAAGGGAGCTTTCCCTTGCTTTTGTGGAACATCTCACTTGTAGTAACTCTTTGTTAGCTAAGTTTTGTGGAATTTTGTATGGAATTGAGTTGGCTAAGGACAGGGGCTGGAATAATCTTTGGAAGGAGATAAATGTCAATGCTTTTGCTAATGATAAATTGGATTTGGTTCCTTGGTAATTAAGGAATTACTGGATTAAATGCATCAATTTTATCTTGGAGATTAATTTTTTTATTACTCACATATGTAGGGAAGAAAATAATTGTACAGATTTTTTTGCAAATATAAACAGAATTTTTAGAGATTCTTTTTCTATTTTTTATTCTTTACCTTTAGAGATTATAAGTGATTATATACAACATAGGATAGGATTGCCTTTTTTTAGATTTAAATATTTTTGACTGGGTATCAGCTCTAGTCTCCACCTTATATGTATCAATTTTTTTTAATACATATTACCTTTTATCAAAAAAAAATTATCTTGATTTGATATGTTTTGCACATTAATAATTATATTAATTTTTTAAGATATCTATAGATATAATTATATAAAAAATACATTCATATCAAAATTCATTTATTTATGAAATAAATTATATATTATTATCTATACCTTCCCCTACTCTAAATAAAATTAATTTTTATAATAAAAAAATATATAAAAAAATCAATTTTGTACATAATTTAATTTTATGAAATTGTTTTTCATCTTATATTTATCTTTAGATGAAAATTTTGTTTTTATATAAATAACAACGATTCTTAGTTTATATTATACCTAACTAAAAAAATATTTATAATCTTCGGAAAAAAATTATAATTTTTTTCTTTTGTTATACATATTACAAATTCATATTCAATATTAGATATTTACTTAAAAATGTTGTGATTTTGATGTTGATAAGTAATTGTAAATGATGGTGATCTCTTAGATACTCCCTCTGTTTCTTTTTAAGTGTCATTTTAACATAAAACTCTTCAACCAAGATAGTGGATTATTAGAGTTATTTTTCCTATTATACCCTCATTTATTTTCTCTTTCCAAATAAATTCAATCATATATCATCTCTCTTTTTCCAATAACTAATTGAGAAAATAATTAATTTTATGGAAAATGTGAAGTGGAGTTATTTAGAAAGTAGAGATATAATTAACAAATGATAACATTAAACTATAAAAACGACACTTAAATAGAAACAAAAAAATTCTTTTAAAACGACACTTAAAAAGGAACGGAGGGAGTAATATATTTTAATAAAATAATTTGCAATTCTGTTATAATTATATATTTAATAAAAATGCTTTAAGTTTTTTTAGGTTTAGAAAAATACCATTCATTGTATTAATTCTCTACACAATATGATGAAGAAAGCTTTTGTATTTTCTAAAAACATTTTGACCAAATGTTACACAAAAATAAATAAAAAAATATAGAACAAATTTATACAGAATTGGAATTAATGTATTTCTACTATCAAGACTTTTTAAATATATATAAAAAATTTATTATATGACAATTCGTTATTTAATGTTTTTTTTTTAAATTCATTACAACTACAATATAACACACGTGTTGATAAATATACATATTTAGAGATGAAAAAATATTATATCAAAATCTGCGCATTGTGCAAGTCACGGTCTAGTTTTTAATTTAAAAAAAAAAAAACACATGTTTAAATGATTATAACTTGGCCTAATATTCAGTTAAGGTAAAAACTCATTAAAAAATCTATATTTTATTGTAATGGCTAAATGACAAAATTAGTGGAGGGGAATAACCAAAATTAACCTTCATCTAACGTGGAAACTTTGCTCTTCACAATTTTTCACTATTTAAAGCTCCACTTTGAAGAAGATGATAATAACAAATAATTATTCTTATAAATTTATAAGTTGTTCTTATAATTTATGTGTAATCAATCATTCTTATTAGTGTGCATATGATTTGTTATAGTTTGAATTATTCATGTCTTGATATTAAGAATCGGCATAAGAGCTTCCTTAAGATTAGAAATTAGTTATACAACCATGTATTTTTTGTATCTATAAATAGTCAGCATTTATGACTAGAATAATATATTGGATTATCATTCTCTTTAGGGTATTCAGAGTGTAAAAGCTTAAAAGTAATTTTTTCTCTCTCTCACGATCCTTACTATGGCTTCACCTTCTGACACTGAAATGACGTCCAATGTGTCATCGCGGCAGACAAACTGATCATTTTGAATGTTGGTTCTTAACTCTCCATCAAACTCGATGGAGACAATTACCCTGCCTGGAGAATCCAGTTCATGGCTCTTTTAACAGGCTATGATCTCCCAGGCTATATTGATGGAACTAAGCCATGTCCATCAAAACAATTCGAGACCAATACCACGACTATCAATCCAGCCTTTACTCATTGGGTTCGACAAGATCAACTGATTCTACATGGAATCGTATCATTTGTGGCTGCAACAGTAGTCACTCACCTAGGAACTGTCAAAAGTTCCAATCAAGCATGTATCATCCTAAAAACCATGTATGCTAGCCGCTCAAGAGTACGTATCATCGCACTCAAACAACAAATTTCCAATTTCAAAAAAGGAAACCAATCGATGACTACATATCTTCAAGGAATAAAGGCAATTTCGGATGAACTCTCAATCATTGATCATCCTCTTGATGAAACTGACCTTGTTATTGACACTCTCAATGGTTTGAGTGTTGAGTATCGTGAAATTTCCGTTGTACTTAGAAGCATAGAAAGTCCAGTTTCCTTTGCTGAACTTCATGGAAAACTGATCGAATTTGAAAAAATTCATCACCAAGCTGATCCACTTGCAGTTGATAATGTGATTGCAACTTCCAATGCAGTCACAAGAAACAACAACTATCACAACAAAAACCACAACAACCGTAGCCCTTCTCCAATTCTGAGGAATGGCGAAAATAAGGTGATCTGTCAGTTTTGTGACAAGACTGGTCACACTGCTAAAACCTGCTACAGAATTAAGGGATTTCTGAAACGAAATGGCCCTAAACCAACAGTGAACCTTGCACAGAATCAGGCTGCAACACAACATCGTAACTGGATCATGGACACTGGAGCATCTCATCATATTGCTCAAGACGTGCAACAACTCACGTTAACAAATCCCTATCCTGGAGCAGATCGGGTGATTGTTGGTGATGGAACGGGTTTGAACATTACTCACACTGGTAACTCTGTTATTAATACTTCTGTCAAACCTCTTCAACTTAAACAAGTCTTATGTGTGCCTACAATTCAATCTAACTTTTTGTCTGTTTCCAAGTTATGTCAATCTAATGGTTGTTCTGTTGAATTTTTTCCAAATCATTTTGTTGTCAAAGACTTGAACTCGGGTCAACCACTGCTTCAAGGACCCCGTAAACAAGATCTTTATCATATATCCCATGCATTTAGTCCATCCAGTCCACCACAAGCATTTCATTCAAGCATACACTCTACATCTACATGGCATCATAAATTAGGACATCCTTCTTTTAAAATAATAAAGCATCTGACGCACAATCATCATCTACCAATAAAGCTTCCAGTTTCACATGAATGTAGTTCTTGTCACTGTGCAAAAAACTCACAAGCAACAAACCTTTGGAACTTTTGTACTCTGATGTTTGGGGCCAAGCTCTTGTTAGATCCTTAGATGGTTATTTATACTATTTAATCATTTTTCCAACTATGTATGGTTGTATCCAATGAAACATAAGTCAGATGTTTTCTCTCTTTTTGTTCAATTCAAGTCCATTGTTGAAAAATACTTTAATTTACCGATCGTTTCTCTTTTCACTGATAATGGAGGCAAATTTATTAAATTAAAATCGTTTCTTGCCAATAATGGTATTTCTCATTTAACCACACCATCGCACACACCTGAGGTAAATGGCACAGCAGAGAGGCAACACCGACATGTTGTTGAAAATGGTCGTGCTCTTTTGCATCATGCTAATTTACCCTTTCAACTATGGTCATTTGCTTTCACCACTGATGTGTACCTTATTAAAAGGATGCCTAAACCAAACATTAATATGGTCTCACCATTTGAAGTATTGTTCAAAAGCACACCAAATTATAATAAACTTCATTCCTTTGGATGCTTGTGCTTTCCCTGGCTAAAACCATATATGCAAAATAAGCTCCAAACCAGGTCTAAACCTTGCATATTCCTAGGATATTCCATGTCACAACATGCATACTATTGTCTTAAACCATTGTCAAATAGGATATATGTATCCATACATGTCAATTTTGTGGAAAATTCATTCCCATATCAATCCATAATTAACTCGTCGTCTACTTGTCCTCTAATTCCATCACCAGACTCTGTTGTACATAGTATTATTCATGTTCACCAAGATCAAAGTTCAGCTCCACTACTAAACCAGTCCCTAGCGCATGAGTTATTTATATTTGTGCCACCCTTTCTCACGTTAACAGTATCCAGTCCTGCACTAGCCATTGTACCGAACCAAACACGAGTACCCTTGTCATATGTACCTATTTGTACACCTACATATGAGTCATCAGTCTCGGTATCGAGTCCTATACCAGTTCCTGCCTCGAATCCT